ATATATATATTCCTTCTCCATAGAGTACATTATTACACTATTTTTTTTCCAGTTGCATCAGACCGAAGAGATAGTCTCTGCAACAATATACTCCATTTTACACGCCACAGTAGTAATAAACAGATGCAGTTCGTAAAATACCATGTTAAAGATATTTTTTCTTTATTAAATTTTTATTATTATGACCGCAATTCAGTGCGACCCGTTCGTGCGATTAATTAAATTTTCATAATAAGTTTTCAAGCAATTGGATGAATAGAACTGGTACAAGAAAATTTTGAAAAATTACTTTTTATTAATAATTTATATTTAATCTGTGAAACACTCCCCTATATTCGACGCAATTTCTCTAAATATCACTGATTTAGAAACGAATTATATTTAAAGGGAAATTTTTACGTGGAAATGTTTTTAAAATTTAAGAAAAAATTTGATTTTTTTCGGAAAATTTTTGAGGCTTAATTTACTGGGCAACAATTTTCTGAATCTTTTGCTTGGTTTTTTGATTGAATTATTGAATTGATCTTATTACATATTAAAACTTTAACTAATAGCGTTTTTCATCATTTGCTGTTTTTTTAAAAGCACACATTCTTGCACACAATTGGTAATTTTTTTCCCAAAAAGGGCCTAATGTACTGAAATAAAATTTGGTTGAGGGTAAAAATAAATTTACGACGTAGACGTAAAATATATTAGGGTTTTCTAAAATAATAATAATAAAATTTGTTGAAACAAACTAGAAAAATTCCGTCAGATTTAAACATAAACTTGTAAATCATTAATTTAAAAAGGATTTTTTGAACTTTTTGCCTTTATATTAGGTTTACTTTAAAAATAAATTATTATTTACAAATAAACCTAAATTGAGTTTCGAAGCTTCTTAAAGTTTGTCACGCTTGTACTTAAGCTGAGTGTACAAAAAAATGGTTCCTTTATTCAAAACGAAAAATAAATAAATAAAAAATAATAAAATAACTAAATAAATAAGTAATAAAAATAAATAAATAAATGCTGGCACAAGAGTTTTATTACTCGGATTTATATTGCCGAAACAAGATAATTCGGTCCAACAAAATGCTTTACGTAATATTATAAATATTTCTTTTTGGATCCGAAATCAAAGCTTAATGTTTTTTTTTAAATCTACAGTGGTAGGAAACAGAGAAAAATATATACTTGGTAAAAAAAAAAAATGCGTGCTACCACTTTTTTCACTAGATATTTTTCATATAGTGGCGATCGAAATGGGCTACAGGTGCCGTAGAGCAGAACTCTATACCTATGCCAAGACTTAGCCTGCTTTCACTACTAGCGTATGGAGAGTCATAGAAGAAGGAAGTTCTTTAGTTTCTTCTGTCTTGAATTTCAAATAGATTAAAACCTTTTACATAGGTGCCAACTCTACTGGATTTTCCTGTAGACTACTGCATTTTGCCAGTATCTCCTGGTCCACTGGTTTAATGAAAATCCTTTCGGTTTTTGTATACTTTAGAAAATTCCCTAGAATTGAGTAAGTTTTCTGAAAAATCTCTATTAAAGTAGAATTTTTGCACAGATTATTGCCTGTTTGAATATTTAAATAAGTGTTACTAATAAAAAGAAGCGAGCCTCATTTATAAAAATCAGTTATCTATCTTTGATGAATTAAAATACCAATGATTATTCAAAATTAAGAGTAAACATAATACATAACATACCAAGTTCATTTAATGGTTAATCATAACTGGAAAATATTATAGTTTCTTTTATTTTGATGACTATTAAAAAAAAAATTCTCTATTAGTAAAATATTTAATACATTTTTTAACAATTACCAAGAAATTTATATTATTTCGTAAAATCTGATTTTTCCTTATTGAAGTTGGTAACTGAAAACTACATTGAACATAGTTCTAAAAGAAAGCATTGAGGAAATTAAGAAAAAAAATATTTTTGTTAATTAAATACAAAAAATATTAAGAAAAGGGAAAATGTCATAGCATATTTTCATATAGCTGAGAAGACGAGAGGGAAGGGGAAGGGTTGTGATTGAAAACAGACAATTGATAAGTAACTTAGGATCTGATGATCGGATTTTTATGTTCTAACAGATAATATTAACGATACAAAGGGCGATAACATATCATATGTTAATTATTTATTGCAGACGATATTTTAGTTTACGTAATCAGTCACAGAAAACATGTTTTCTCTTTAGCATACTTTTTTTTTAAATATAAATTCTGGATTTTTAAAATAAAAGAGGTAGCCGCAATTTGGAAAATTAGGTGTCAATGGTAAAATAAAAATAATGATGTGATGAATAGCGGCGAAAGCGGCGCTCCTAAGAACTATTTTAGACAAAGATAAATTTTTTGCATAGTTATAAAAGTCGTGTCGTCGTAAAAATTAACTTAAAACTTATTAACTAACTTTAAACTTTGTACGTCTTTTTTTTTTTTTTAATTAATATTTTTTTTCGAAATTTTATAACTCAGAAATTATTTGACAATTTCTGTACCTATTTATATTAAGTTATTTATATTAAGTTATTTTTAATAAGTAATTCGAAATAAAGGTGCTCTAACTTGAAAACTGCAGGTGCTGCTGTTTCAACAATTCTCTCTTGAAAAATAGATAATAAAATTATGTAAATAAAATAATTATTATATAAAATATATATTTATCGCAGAATCGCTGTTCAGCCTCCATTTCAATTTCGTTGCTTTGGAAAAATAAATTTTTCAAAGTAACTGACTTTTTTTTTCTCTCGCAATTTTTATTTATTTTTCCCGGCTGAAAAACTGGTCACTTATAGATAAAATACTCTTTAAGTTGTGAGTGTGTGAGAATTAAAATTTATCGAAAAGTTTAGTAGTCATATGATCCGAAAATGCATACCAACATTCCTAAAATAACGTTAAGTAATTATTAATATTTTCTAAAAAAATGTATGCTTAAATTCTCGTCGTGAGTTGTTCACTCGCGGGACAGTGTATTTAGTCAGCTGTTTTTGACAGCCGATTATCCGAAGCAGATGTTCAATAAATTCCAAATCAAAAGAGAGATGGCGTCACTATCGTGTGACGCAGTAAATTTCGAACCTGTGTTGCTGTTTATCTGTCATCTGGTTATGTGAGCAACTGCTAAATCAAAGCAGTCAAATGCAGTCAGTTAACGCATTGTACGACGAAATTCGGAATTTGGCGCCACGGCTAATTGATGATATTTGTTAATGACATGTATTTTGTGGGCAAGTCAAATCTAAGAGTTTCATGTGTTTATAAATTTGGATTGTTTCTCAACATGTAAACAAACCAGAAATCCCACTCCTGCAAATGCATTCTTTTTAATACTTGGCTTGAGCGGTGGCGGCGGCTTTTATGTTTATTTTTCTAGTTCCCACGTGGTTTCTCAAGCGATGAAACAAACAAGATTTCCTGAAGAAAATAAAACTTATTGGAAAATATCTATTAAGAAAATGAATTGAATACACAATATCTTGAAATAAAACACTTTTTAAGTTGAACTTCGACCTGAACTGAAACGAGCTGTCAAAGTTTTGTTTATTGTGTACTGTGATAGGGATTTCGTGACAAATTTCACTATGTTAGAGTGTTACTGATTTTAAAAATTTTTAGATACGAGGTGAATAAGAAACAATATTTCTTTCGAACTTATCTTGTATATTGTTTTACAATGAGTATGGATTTTCTACTCACTAGAAAACGTTTAGTAATGGAATTTTAATGTTCTCGTGACTTGAAAGTCAAATAAGAGTAATTTTTGTTTACGATCTGTTTATTTGTTCACAACTGAATAAATAAGAAATGTTGATAAATTCTTCGTTAAAGATATTCTTAACTGTTGATAGTGAACAATTTCTTTTAAATAAGCTTTGAAGAAATTCCTAAACTAGTGAAATTTACAGATTTCGAAGTTGATATATTTAACTGATTGAATTGCTTTTAATTCGTTGGAGCCAAGTTATTTCTATTTGATTATTTGTAAGTACTATAATTTATTTTTTACAATTTATTGATTTAAAGTTCTTTAATTTGAACATATTTCCATACATGTTTGAATTTTATATACAGGAATTTTAAAATAGCGTTTGTCAATAACAATTTTGTTAACATTCATGGTTGCTATTTTTAAAAATTTTTTTGGTTTTCGTAGATATTCTTAATTTTTAAGTTCAGAAAATATTTAAATAATGTTATATAACTGATTCTTTCGTTTATTTTTATTCCTATTACTCTTGAAAATTTTCCTGTTTTGTCTTTTATGAAATTTCAATGTAGTAGAACCTTGATTTAACTATGCTTGTCGGCAGGGGCGTGCTAAGGGTTTTTGCGGAGCTGGGCGAAACATAAGGCATTTTATCATGATTAATGAAAATCATGTTATGTTCAACAAAGTACATAATTAAACATTGGATTTTTTTATTTCAATCAGATTTTTTTAAAATTGTTTTTGCGTTTTTAAAGTTGTGACAAAATGCATAAATAATACTTTATATTTAACAATAATATTGCAACTAAAATTCTTAATATCACTAATAATAAAAATGTTAATATTATTATTTAAGCAATATTATTATTACAAACTAATTTTTAATATTGCAAACTAATAAATAAAGCCTGTTATTATTTTTTTTATCAAGCTAAAAACATTAATGAATTGCAAAAACAGAGAACCAACTTGTTGAATAAAAAGTAAATTAATGAAGATCAGAAGACATTTTTAAAATGAATTATTCTTGACAGAGCAAGTTTTTATTATTTATTTACTGGTAGATATTTAATAAATTTAAAAGTCACTTGTATTGAAATAATTTTGCTTAAAACTGAATGGGTATAATTGAAATATATTTATTGATAATAAAACGACAAATTATTTTACATGCAACAAGTAGCACATTAAAATAAGAAAATGATATTATAATTTAAAAGTTACATTCTTATCTACATTTAAGCTTTTAAAAAAAGCTATTTCATTTCTTAATTTATTAACTTATTTCTTAATTTTATGAATAAAAAATTTTTTATCAATGAGATTTCATATCAATAGTTTATATTCACATCCTTAAGAATAGTATAAATAATATTTTTTAGATAAATCTGTGATTAAAAAGAGATCATGGGATTCAAATCAATGATTTTTTTAATTAAATATTTTTGAATCATTACAACCCTGCTTTTTGTTTTTCTTGACAATTTTCGCAGCAGATCCACATGTGCTCACAAATCGGAAATAGTTGAAATTTTTAATACAGTTAGTTTCTATGACACAAAAGTTAAAAGTTGACAAAAAGTTCCATGTTATTTTAAAAATTATATTCCTCATATAAAGGAACATTAATTGAAATGAAATTTATATTTGGAAAAATAAATTCTAGTAACTTATATGAATTTTATATCCGAGGAATAGTAAAAATATATCAAAGCTTTAGCAAATGTAAAGAAAAACTTGTAATCAAACTATTAATTAGTTCGAAATTTTTGGCAGCCCTAAATTTTAGCATCCCTGGGCGGTCGTCCACCCTAAGCACGGCTCTGCTCATCTGGCTGGTCCTAAACGCAGTGCCTGATTATCATAAGGCCTGAGAGGCCTAGGGCTTCCACATTTGCAAGGCCTGTTATCCTTGTGGCCCCTAAATATTACAAATAGCTTACTTTGTGTTTTTCCTTAAGAATTGTCTATTAGAATAATGAGTTAACAAAAATTGAAATAAATATAAGCTGAAATTTATTAAGATATTGTAATTTACTTATGTTATAAATAATTTAAAAACACTTCATAATTATAAAACAAGTAAATTTGGTTTGGAGTAATAACCAGGGGACTCCTGTCTGTTCTGTGCCTGTAGCCTCCGCATTTCTATATCAATCTCTACCTAAATGTATCAAATAGCGGGATGTTGCCAAATTGCAATGAATATTCCTTGTAAAAAATGTAATTTAATGCTTACAAATTTAATCATATTTAGTTGAATACCTAATTACTATCTGAAACTTAAATGTAATTTATTTAGTAAAAAAATAAAAGCTTACATTATTTTAACGAAAAATAAAATCTGACACGCTTGTCTATTTACCATTTTTTTGTTGTCTGAAATTACATGATGAATTTTCCAGCGATTCCAAGGCATCTATTTCTCTCTTGTTCCTTGGAATAAAATTTTCAGACTCTGCAGCATAATTGCTGCTTCATTAAATGATGGTGATGGAGCTAAAGATTGTTTTATTCATCACTAATAAATACTATGATTTCAGCTACTGAAATTGTGTTCTACTCTTTAAGTCATCAGATTGTTATCACCTTGTGAATACTTCATAAAGTCTGTATCAGTATTCTGTCTGCAATGCTGTCAGTATTATCTGGATTGGAAACTTCTACCTTTTCTGATATTTCCTGGAGCTTCTATATTTCAGGGAAATATTCTTAGAGGACACTCTAGATGCTGGGATATTTTTTATATTATTAATATAGGAAATAAAAGGGAACCAAACTGAAAAGATGTTAAAAGCATTAAATCATTTTATACGAGTGACGTTAAATCAGAGTTCTACTGTATATGAAATAAATTTATTTGTAGTCTTTTTAGAAATATTTTTTTGTTGTGATGTTGACATTAAAATTTTTTTTATCACTAGTTATATATATATTGGCTTTTTCATAAAAAAATAGATTTGGTAAAATAATTGATTCATAAAAGTTTTAAGTTTAAGATGTTTTCATTACCTAAGTTGAACAGACATTTAAAAAAAAAATCATCAATATCTGGTGCACAATGAAGGTATAAATACATACATTAATATAAACGGCTTGAGATAATGTAATAGAAAATTATTCTAAAAAGTATTTTTGGTAAAAACACAATTTTTATTCAAGCAACTAGGTTTCTGTGCAATGTGGATATCAGCAAACAGGTTAAATGTCCATCTGAAAACATTAATCAAAAGTTTAATGCAAAATTGTCACCTCTAAAAAGAAAGGGTTATCTCTATACTGCCCTTAGCCTATTATGCATTTTGGAATGTCTATTTATATGAATTAAATATTTATGCTTCATAAAGATAATTCATTAAAATTTATTTCTCGATATTTTGCAAGCTATGTAAATTTGCACTGAACCCTTTTTTTAAAATTTTTTTTTAATATCAAACCTTTCAATTAACAATTAACTGATTAACTAACATTAACAATTTAACTGATCTAGCCTAATATTTTATGCATTTGATAAAGCCTGTGTTTTTTAAATATACTAGTTATTTTCATGAGGCACTTTTGGGCTAATATTTTTAAATAATTAAAAAAGTTAGGAAATTTTCTATACTGTGTTCCACTTGTTATTTTGCAATTTCTTCATCCACATTAAAACATTATTACCATAGACGCACAGAAATTTTTCATTGGGAGGAGAGGGCATTAAACTAAAATTTAAAAATTTCACTTATGCTTGGCATTAATAACAATTTGATATGTGTATACAATTTGATAACAATTTGATATCTTCACCAGGGCACATCCTTTAGGATAAATGCCATATTTCTGAATAAAGAATAATTATCCTAAGATAAAAATTACTCTTCATATATCACCATCAGGGCCGGATTTAAGCTCGGTGGGGCCCTAAGCTACAGAAAATGATGGGGCCCTTATAAGTTCAATTCCATTTCTATACGCCCAAAGAAAACTGTCACTAATTTTTTTGTTAAGTATTAAGATTATATTATTAAAAAATTTGATAATATTACTTTATTGTTAAATATGTTAATTGTGATGAGACTATTATGTAGAACTTTTCTTTTATTGCACATATTTTTTGAACGAGGATAAAAACTTACAAAAGAAACACATTTTAAGCACAGAGTAAAAATTTGGCATGCTGGGCCACTATATATTTAACAGTTTTTTTTTTTTAGATTCATTTTGAATATATTTTATTTGCAGTTTTTTATGATTTTTTTCTCGAATTGTTTTCTTAATTGTTTTTTCTTTACGTTACAAAATCTATAAGACTTAGAAACATGAAATTTTGAATGTGCGCAGAAAGTATGCAAAGAGTTAGAAAGAAAACCAGAAAATACAATTTGATTATTAGTTTTATTTTTTTGTAACCGCCGTTGAACAACCGACTCAATTTTGAGTTTACGCCCTAACAACCAGGCTATCCCGGCCAAATTTATTAGTTTATTTTATAACAGTCATTACATATCCGACCCAATTTTGAGTTTACGACTACTAATATTCAACTCCGTAGCCTTGTAAATTTGAACCCAATCCAGAAGACAAAGGAACTGCTAGATTAGAACCCAGAGGTATTTATTTGTTATGAGAAGTTGGAGGACTTTGTGACCCCGACAGATTTAACATGCACCTGCCACCATTTTATACATGGGTATTCTTTTGCCGGCTGGATTCAAACTCTCATTCTCACGAACACGAGTCCAACGCCCTATCAACCAGGCTGTCCCGGCCAAATTTATTAGTTTATTTTTTAACAGTCATTGCACAGCCGACCCAATTTCGAGTTTACGACTACTAATATTCAACTCCGTAGCCTTGTCATTTTGAACCCAATCCAGCAGTCCCTGGAGCAGGTGAGGGCCGTTATATTAATACTGTTTGTAAAAATAAAAAGAACATTTCGTAAGCTGATATTATTTAATTGATGTTTATATTGAAAATATTTCTTCATTATTTTTGCTTTCTTTTTAATTATTTTAAGCAAATTTGTTAAATTTTAGTGCTGGAAAAAAAATTGTCATTAATATATGTAAATTTTTGGCTTATATTTTTAAGGATTTATTAAAGGGTCTATTAAATATCAGAGAGAATAAATGTCATACGGGTTTAAAGTATCAGCTCTGCTCTTGATGGTGTATAGTAGCTAGGATGTGTAAGAGCAACTGTCCCGGGCATCCAGCCAAATCGAGCATTCAGCATATCAATGGAACACACTAAAGCTTTAAATCAATTAGCAATTAGTTTTAGATAA